TGTTATTGTCTTACTTCTCTCTTCTCTGTGTTGACGATATAGCTTCTCTTATTACATCTTGTTTTGCGTTTCGTGCAGTTTTTTCGGGGCGATAAAGCGACCTATCGTCCTATAGAGAGAGAGAGAGAGAGAGAGAGAGAGAGAGAGAGAGAGAGAGAGAGAGTGTGTGTGTGTGTGTGTGTGTGTGTGTGTGTGTGTGTGTTTTTGTGTGTGTGTGTGCACGAACAGGCATGAGAGCAAGGCAATCACGCCATCACAGCCACAAACTACGACCAGACATCCAGCCAACCTACGCACACACACACACACACACACACACCTTTGCTGCCTGCGTCTCCTCGAAGAGCTGCTTCATCTTTTGGGCCGATGCGGTGGCTGTGTCCAGGGCGTTCTGTATTGACGCCGTTGCGTTTGTTTTGATTTCAGAGATGGTGTGCTGCTGCAGGGTGCTTGTCATGTGTTGCATTTCCTGAATCTGCTGCGAGGCTACCTCCAGCGCCGTCTCGTTTCTCACAAAGCCCGCCGCCTCTGCGCTGATGACTGGCTCGTGGTTCAACACACACCGGTGCACGCTCGACACATCTGCAGTGGGCAAGCATTGTTGACGTTCGTGAGTGAGGAGGGTGAGGGGAGTGTAATGTGTGTGTGTGTTTGTTAACAAAGCAAAGGGAAGGCAAATACATCACTGGCGACGCACGCACAGATGACAGGCAGATGCACACACACACACACACACACACACACACACACAGACACAGACACAGACACAGACACACACACACACACACACACACACACACACACCGGCGACGATGCGCGAGACAAGCTTGGCATCCATCAATGACGAGGAAGGCGATGTCATATTGGACTACTGTTTATGATGACGCCAATTTTCCGCGCAGACGAGTTGGCGCCACGCACACCAGCAGCAGCCAACGATGGCAGCGAAGCGTGGAGCGGCAGCAGCGTCTTCGACACAGCCGGCGCAGTGCGTGCTCTCTCTTTTGCGTGCATGTGTGTGTGTGTGTGTGTGTGTGTGATATGACCTCCACATTGAACGCTGTGGGTGTGGAACTTGAAACGTACCTTCTTTTCTGTTTCACATTTATATAGACTTCACGTCACTTGCCTGCTTTGCCCGTTGTCACTGTGCACCGTTTTGACAGGGCGTCCATCGCCTCGCAAGCAGCGTCGCAAGCAGAGTCACAGGCAGAGTCGTCGACCCAGCCAGCCAAGCGTAGCAAGAGCACAGCGCCACGTAGAGCTTACATAAGCCTATCCGAGGGCGAGAAGACACGCGCAGTAAGTGTGTGTGTGTGTGCTCTTGTGTGTGGTGTGTGAGTGGGAGGGTGTGCGCGCGTGTGTGTGCCTGTGCACGCGTGTTGTGTAGATGCGTGCTTACACAAATGTGTGCACGCTTGCGACCCAGGTTGAAAGCGCTGCGAGGGCCATCTTGTTTCGCTGCTGCTACCAGGGCAAAGCCGTCAAACGAACAGGTTCGTGTGCGCGTGTGTGCTGCGTGCTGTACTAATTTCGTGCTGCGTAATTTGTGATGGCTTGCGGCTTGGTTGTGATCTCACGACTTGCACTCTTTGTGATGCGATTCCACCGTGTTATGCGACTCCGCGGTTATGTTATTCAGACGTTCTTCAGCTTCTTGGTCTCACCGGGGCCCGGGAGGCCTTCTTCAAGGGCGCAGGCATCTTGAACGAAGTCAGTCACAAGTATGAGAGAGTGAAAGAGAGAGAGTGTGTGTGAGTGTGTACATGTGTGTGGATGTTTGGTGTGCGTGTGTGTGTGAGTGTGTACATGTGTGTGGATGTTTGGTGTGCGTGTGTTTGGCTGTGCCTCTGTATGTATATATGTGTGTAGTTATGTCCGCATTCCTCTTCCTAGCGGTCTCCGTCGCCCTACTCCTCCATAGCCACTTCTGTCAATTTGTCTGCCTGAGCTGTGACGTGCACAGCCTGTTTGCCTCCCCAACACCTCATACGCAACACACACACACACACAATGCACACAACACACACAATGCACACAATGCACACAACACACACAAACAAACAAACAAACAAACAAACAAACAAACAAACAAACAAACAAACAAACAAACAAACAAACAAAATACGCATGCACGCCAGCTGTTTGGGCTGAAGCTGACGTCGCTGCCTCTCCCCGACCAGCCAGACTCCATGCCGTCGATGGGCATGAAGAAACCCACAGAGGAGAAGCCCACAGGCCTGTTTACCCTGGTCAACAGACTGCAGAGCGACAAGGTTCCAGCCAGTGCACACGCAGCTGGCGAGGGCAACGCCGCGTGCGCGTTGGTGCTGGATGAATCCACGCAGGCGCAGTGGGGGTTTCTCATGACCATCCTTGCCACCATCTACGTCAACAAGCCCAAGCACGAAATCTCCCAGAGTGAGTTGCTTTTGTGTGTGTGTGTGTGTGTGTGTGTGTGTGTGTGTGTGTGTGTGTGTGTGTGTGTGTGTGTGTGTGTGACTGTGTGTGTGTGTGTGTGTGCGTGCGTGCGTGCGTGTGTGTGTGCGTGCGTGCGTGTGCCTGTGCGGTTGAATGTGCTGCTTGATTGACGTATTCAGCTGCACACAGTCTGCCAACATCATGTGTGTCAGTGTGCCATCTACTGCAGATTCTAAACCCTGCACAGTATGTGCGCGCTCACTCCAGACCACGCGCACACTCACACGCACTCACACGCACTCACACACTCACGCACTCACACACACTCGCACGCGGTACAAATTGGTTCTCCCCTCCCCACTTCCCCCAATCCATTGCACAGGCGAGTTGTGGAAGTTCCTTAGGGAACGGCTTGGCGTGGGCAACACCACACGGATTGGCGGCGAGCGTGCTGACCGCCTCATCGACACCGTCTTTGCCAGCGAACAGCGGTTGGTTGCATCGCGCGCGCGCGCGCGTGTGTGTGTGTGTGTGTGTGTGTGTGCTGTTGTTGTTGTTGTTGTTGTTGTTGTTGTTGTTGCTTGTTTGTTTGTTTGTTTGTGTGTTTGTTTGTTTGCACTTATTTGTGTTTCTGTACGCGTCCTGGATTGTCGTCGCTACTATTGCTCCTGTCATGGTGCACCCACCACCATGCTTTTGGCACACGCCTTCATCGCCTTCAACCAACTAACCAACGAACCACTCAACCAACCAACTGCCGACACAACAGGTACTTGGTGCGGCTGCGAATGCCCAACGCAAACCCGAACGAGCCAGTCACCTACTTCTATCGATGGGGGCCGCGGGCGCGTGTGGAGCTCTCAGAATACAAGATCCTGCAATTCCTCGCAAAGGTGCGTACATGTCGGGGTGCGTGTGCCGGGTGCATACGGCGAATGCACACGGCGGATGCACACGGCGAATGCACACGGCGGATGCACACGGCGAATGCATGTCAGAACCCCCCCCCCTCCCTTTTCTCCTCGCACACACACGCGCGCGCACATCCCCTGCATGTTTTTGATGTGCCTGCCAGGCTCTTTCCTATTCCCCGCATGCGTGATGCTTCACGGAACCGTTTCCCCACGCAACAACAACATGTGACACTCTGTTTTCTCTTTGCCACCTCACACACAATACACACGATACACACACAATACACACACACAATACACAATACACACACAATACACACACACAACACGCACACAATACACACAATACTCACACGCACACAACACCCACTGCAGATATACGGCCACGACTTTGCGGAGCTCGCGGAGCAGCTCAACTTGGACGTGGCTGATGGGCAAGAAGGCGATGGTGCTGAGGGAAGCGAAGAAGAAGAGGAAGACGAAGAAGGCGATGATGGCGACAAGGAACAAGAAGAAGCAGAGGAGGACAGTGCAGCATCGCGCGGCCCGAGCTCGGCATCAACGCGCAACAGCAGCAGTAAGAAGGGCAAGCGCCGCCAACAGCAGCGGCAACACGCAAAGGTGAAGGAGGAGGAGGAGGAGGAGGAACAACAGCAGTCGAACCGACGGCGAACAACACGTGCACGGCGTTCGCGTGGGCGCAAATAAAACGAAAAGGGACAATCGAACGAAACTGTGAGTTTTGTGACGACGCGTGCTGGTTGCGTTTGTCCAACCGAAATTTGCATGCAGGCAAGACTTCCTGGAATCCACGCGCAACTACGGTTGCATGCGTCACCACCGGGACACGGCCTAGCTCTGTGTGGGGCGGTTGGCACACACTCACAATCGCGAGGAAGTGCTGGTGTGCTTGGTGCGGGTTGCCATGGGGGCGGGGCGGTGGCGTTTGTTTGTTCGCGCGGTTTCTTCCGCTGCCAACGCTGAGGTCGATGGACATCGCACAACCAGCAAAGAATACGCAGGAACAACACGAGGAACGCAAAAAAGAAGCCAGATGGAAGGGAGCGAACGAATGACAAGGGGCGAAAGAAGTGAAGCTTCCGACGACCGAGACTGCACGCGCAAGCATACGCTGCTCTGCGTGTGTGTGAGTGTGTGTGTGTGTGTGTTGTAGGGTTTTTCTTTGCTTTGGTGTCTCCAACAAGTTGGTCGCGTGTTTTGTGTGCACTGATGTAAGCGCGCTTGTGCGTTAACCACCCATCAGTCAGTCATCAGTCAACTTGCACGGGTACGTGTGTGTGTCAAGTGGAACACTCTTGCACGCCAACCAACAGCTTGCTTCCGTTCCTCGTTCGTGCCCGCTTTCGTCCCTTCTGACTGGTTGACGGTAGGTCGTGTGTGTGTGTGTGTGTGTGATCGTCGAAGTTTGATCTCTTCGTGACAGCGGGTCGTGGATGACCACTGCTGTGTTGCTGTGTTGTTTTTCCAAGAGTGCGCGTGCGTGTACATTTCTCAAGCCTTCATCACCGCAGCACCAGCGCTAGTCAGTGCTACACCGATCACTGCTGTGTGCACGCCACCACTTTCCCTTTCCCCCCCCCCCGTTTGCTGAGGTTTCAAGCAGAAACAGATGGTGGTCTGACTGGCTGGGGTTCCATCCTGAACACGCACTCACCACATCGTCAACCCTTCGTTCCCTCCTTCTCCTTCAACACCCCCCCCCCTTGCCCTGTGGCCTGTTTGAGGTGCTGTGCATTCGTCCCCTTTCTTTCCTGTCTCTGATTGCTCACACTCGCAAACACCAACAGCAGCAAACCTACTTGCGTTCAACGGTGCGTTTTCGTTTTGATTTTCCGACTGACTTCTGCTTCTTTTTCTGGTGAGCGTGTGCCGGTTGCATCGCGCTGGCGAGTGTGTCAAAGCCAAGTTGCGCTTGGCCCTGAGGCATTCCCCAAGACCAAAACCAAACTTGCATCGTGTCTTTCGGCATCGCGCCTCTTGATCCCCTCTTGTCACACACAGACACAACACCACATCATCAATCAACGCGCAACATCCTCCCTCCCCACTGCGTTGTGTTGTTTTGATTTAGCTTCCGCGTTGCTCCGTGCGCGAGCGCTCTGTGCGTTTGTGCGTGTGTGTGGCCGGCCGTGCGCGCTTGTGTGTGTGTGAGACTGTGAATCCTGACGTGGGGTGTTACATTTCATCAGACACCGCCTCCGAGGTGTTTTGGCCTTGTGCGATCCAAATCCACCACCCTCTGCTACTCTGTTACCGTCTCTCCCCGCTCCACTCCAACGCTGCTGGAAGCGCTTCCCTCCTTCACTTTTGTTCCCAGTCTCCTCTTTTCTTTGCGTGCTCGCGCTTGCTTTCTTCACTTGCTTTGCTCGAAGAGGCACAACAACCCCGTACACCCACATCAAACAACAGACGGTTCCAACATCACCAACAGCACCAACAGCAACGACAGCAACTGCTACCGCAGCAGCACCTTCCCTTCTGCTTGGGTCCACCTTCTCCATTCTCCACACACCCCCCCCCCCTTCCCCAACACGGCCATTCCTTCCCCGAACATTCCACGGACACCTTCCTCCCCCCCCCCTCCCCGCTTCGGTAAGCCGTGAGCTGAAGTGCGTCGCGTGCGTCTCTCGGTGTGGGTGAACGCGTCCTGCGCCTGCCCCACGCACGTCGGGCGTGGCTGCCCCGACTCTAATTTGCTTTAGAATTGCGGCTCTTGCTTTGCTTTGCTGTCTTGTTGCGAGTTGCCTCATTGTCTTTCATTGGCCGCACTCGCCTTCCTCTCCCTCGCTTCTTGCTTGCTTGCTTGCTTGCTTCCTTCCTTGCACTCGCCTTGCTTCACCTCTTTGATGGCTTCCTCCTGCTTGCATGCACACACAAAGCAAGCACACACAAAGCAGTTTGGCTTCACTTGCGACTCCCCTTGCCCTCTTCCACTCATCTCCACCGCATCCGGCTCTGACAACACACCCGAACATCCACACATACACACACACATACGTACATACACATACATACATCCACACATACACACATCCACACATACACATATACACACATACAAAAATACATGCACACGCCCTCTCCCTCGCTCACTCCCCCACTCTCGCTTCCAATCCATACGAGTGTACAAATATCAGCAGACATACACCCTAAATTGCTCACATCACATCCCCCTTCGCGTGTTTGCATGCATGCATGTCAGTCCACTTTCAACGCTTCCGCCATCCAACCCAGTCCGCTTGATTCACTCTGAGCGGCACATGCTGTCGCCACCACAACTACTATGAGTGGGTGGCCTTCCTCGAACGCCTCCTCTCTCCCACACCACCAACACCAGCAACCAATGCACAATGGGCAGCACCCACAGCAGCAACAGCAGCCTGCATTTCAGGGAATGCAGATGCCATGGGCTTCAACCCCCAACCCGTTGCCTGCAGGCATGTACTGGCCACCAACAGCAGCCCCACCGCCGCCTTTCCATGCCAACATTTACCCTCCTCCTCCTCAGCAGCACCTCACACCACAGCAGCTCGCCATGTTCTACCTTCAACATCAGCTGCAACAAGGGCTGCAACAAGGGCAGCAGCAGCAGCAACAACAACAACAACAACAACAACAACAACAACAACAACAACAACATCATCATCATCAACAGCAACAAGGGCAGCAGCAGCAACAACAACAACAACAACAACAACAACAACAACAACAACAACAACAACAACAACAACAACAACAACAACAACAACAACAACAACAACAACAACAACAACAACAACAACATGGCGGTGATGATGATGACGACGACGATGGTGGTGGTGGTGGTGGTGGTGATGATGATGACACTGCCGCCACGTTAACTGTCACGGCTGATGCAGATGCGTCAACCAACGCAAGAAAATCTGCCACTAACACAGTAGGCGGTAACAGTACACGCACGCACGTAAGCCCAGGCCACTTGGCGGCAGCGCGTGGTGCTGCAACTGCTCCTGCAAAGCCCACAGTGAGCGCACGAGGCCGTAAGCATACCTCAGCGCGCCCTCACACAGCCGCTACCGGGCACAGTTCAAGTTCGCCCGGTGTCACCCCTTCCGCCGCCCAGCAACAACAACAACAACAGCAGCAGCAGCAGCAGACAAAGAGCGACCATCCAGCTCAATCACAACAGTCATCGAGTACCAAGCAGACACAGCTACAAGTGGCGGAAAACAGCGACCAGGACACCTCTGCACAACAAGGGCAGTCGTCCCCTCGCCCCTTGCATGGTGCAGGCATTCCAGCAACGCTGCCATCAAGCACAACCCCCCTTTCGCCAAAACAGCTCTCACAGGACCTTCACCGCTACAAGCATCAACAACAACACAGCACAATGGTCGTGCACATGGGTGCGTCTGCTCCAAACCAAGCGCACCAGCCTTCCAAACCGCCAACCACGGACCAGCAGGACACACCCGCCACGTCCGAGGCCCAGAAAATGAACCAAGCATTTGTTCAGGCCATGCAGGATGCCCTCGACAACAGCAGCAAAACCAACACTAGCACAGCCCCTGACCACAATTCTCATCACATGCCCACCGCACAACAGCACCCGCAGCTGGCCGACAATCCCACCTTGCTGACAACCAACGCCTTGCTCCAGCACCTTCATCGCCAGCAGCAGCAGCAGCAACAGCAGCAGCAACAGCAACGGCAAGACGCAACTGCACACCTGGTGCCGTTTCAACAGCCACCGCTGTTGTTGAACCAACCACACCCGAGCTGGATCTCTGGTTTGGCTGACCCCAGCAACTGGCACCAGGCAAACGCACACCTCCATTCACAGCCAATACAAGCCCCAGCCATGCTCAACGCCCACAACGCAGCAGCCATGAACCCATTTACCTTTCAACAAACACAACCGCAACAACAGCAGCAGCAGCAACAACAGCAACAGCAGCACCCACCCTATTTCACAGCCTCGCTTCAGCCACAGCCACACCATTTCCCAGACCCGCACCAACAACAGCAGCAACGAAACCACCACCACCACCACCGTCACCACTTTGTCAGGGCGATTGACGAAGGTCAGGCCACAGAAGAAGTGCGTGCGCGCAACCGCATGAAGAGCCAGCGCTACCGCGACAAGAAGAAGAATGTGTTTGAAGAAGGCAGGCAAAAGGCAGTGCACTACCACCGCTCCGCCAAGGAGTATCGTGCACGCATACAATCGGCCCTCTCCTCCCTATCCTCGCACACGGCCGTCCACGAGCCTCAAGCACACGTGCGTAACACAATCGTGCTTCGTGTGTATGCGTGTATGTTTGAAAGAGATGGAGAGACAGCGAGATGGGGGGGGGTAGAGAGGCAGCGTGCGTGCGTTTGGCTTTTGAATGCTTGTCGTGCACGCATCCTTGCTTGTGGGAATGAGTGGCCGAGTTGCCTCGCAACTACGCTTCCTTGAGCCTTTTCTTCTTCGGGGATGGGACCAGCGCTCGGAGTCTGATCTGCGCGTGCACTCTATGTGTGCATGAGCACAATCACCCATCCCACAGCAACCTCACGCTTCCGCGCCATTGCTCGTCACTGCCCTCGTTTGAACCGCGTTCATATTGTTGTTGGTGATGCTGATGTTTCCAGGATGACCCGCCTGCTAAGCAAGCCAAGCTTCACGCTGATGCCGACGCAAAACCAGCGGCCCACATCAAGCACAGCGACACCGTCGTTGCGCAACTGCGAAAGTCCTTGCTTGAGCTCGAGCACGTATGTGACACATTGTGACTTGGTCGCGGTGTTGCGTGGTGTTGCTTGCGTGGTGTTGCGCGGTCGAGACCGCTCGCCACACGTTTAATTGCATCACATCATGACATAAAATGCATGCATGCAAGTTTCGTGTTTTTTGCAACTGCAACAGCACATGTCTACCTCTTCCATCACGTATCGTGTTTTCGACCACCACCACCACCGCCGACAACACCCTCATCTTCCAGCCCCTTGCACTTGCACCCAACGCGCAGACCCATGGTGCTGATCTCACCCCGACCTTCCAGGAGCCTTTTACGCGGCAGTCCTACACAGATGCAGCATTCCAGGAGGTGTGTGCGTGCGCGCGTGCACCTGCGCTTGTGTGTGTGTGTGTGTGTGTGTGTGTGTGTGTGTGTGTGTGTGTGTGTGTGTGTGTGTGTGTGTGTGTGTGTGTGTGTGTGTGTGTGTGGGCGGTGCTCGTCGTGGGTGGTGGGGCCTTTCACCAACAAGCATACAGCCCCAACAATGCACGCGCAAACAGCTCCTGTGGTTCTCTTCGTTTGCCGGGTTTAATTGCCATTGCCACGCTCATTCGCCCTGTTCCTTGCTTGGCCTTCATCACGTGTCAGGATGTGAAACGCGAGGGCTTGACGTTCTCCTCTTCGCAGCTGCGGTCACGCGAGAAGAACAGGCGCAGCTCAAAGTTCTACAGAGAACAGCGCAAGCGCGAGGAAGATGGTGCGTGGCACACGTCTGCTGCTGCACGCTTGTTTCCTGTCAACCACCTACCTTTTCATGCGCTATCCTGTGCGTGTGTGTCTGCCTCTCTGTTCCTCCTCGGCTCTCCTCGCTCTCACTCGCTCATTCTCTCACATGCAATCGCTCAACTCGCTCAACTCACTCAACTCGCTCACACCCGCACAAACACGCCACGCTGTCCCCCACGCTGTCCCTTCTTGGCCGTGCTAGCCTGGGAGGCGTGCCGTGCTCGCTTGCACCGCTGCTCAAGCGCCTTCAAGAAGCTCTGGAAACGCGTGTCCGCCGTCGTGCGTGAGCGCGAAGAACCTCATCGGCATCGCAAGGGCGATAAAGGTACGGCAAAGGTGCCAACCACAACCGCACCAGCAGCAGCAGCAGGGGCAACAGCGCCGCGAACAGCACATGCAGCCGCAAGAACGGCCCAACAAAACACGCCGCCCCCATCAAACCAAGCGCAGCGCCATGAGCAGAGTCCCGCACTCGTTGCTGCTGAAGCTCAGGGGCTTGACCCTGGCGAGGGTGCCGATGATGACGACGACGACGACGATGATGATGACGATGATGATGATGATGCAGATGGCGATGGTGAGGACTGTGACCATGCCCATGCTGACGAAGCCGCTGCGGACAGCAGTGATGCTCACAAACAGGATGACTAGGGCTATATGACACAAGGTGCCGATGATGCCAACGGTGACGCCCCCCGCCCCTTCCGGCCACGTTGAGCCGCTCTTCAAGACTTGCCGTGGCCCCACTCCCAAACACACACACACACACACACACACACACACACACACACACAGCATGTCGTTCATTCTCTTCTATTTGCAAGGAAGAAAGGCAGGCCCGTGAGCCTGTGAGCAGAAGACGAGAAGCGGTTGGTGTGTGGTTCCAACCACGTTGCAGTACAGCACTTCAACGATTTCCAGTGGTGTCTCAGCTCTCAAGCCTTCTCTTTGCCTGTTGTGCAGCCCTTCTTTGCTACTGAGCCATATGTTGTTGCCGTCCTGATTGCCTGTTTACGTGTTCACCCAACGCTTGCGAACGTGAGGGCGCTTTCATTTTTTTTTTGGCTCATTCTAGCATTGTCTTTGCTGTTACCTCAGTACTTCTGTGCACGATGTATTCATTACGCTATGGCCAGCTCGCTTGGGGAAGGGTGCGCAGCTCCTTTTTTACATTTCCAAACTTTGGAATCACCTTACCCGTCCCCCGTTAACCACGGCACCATATTTGTTGTCCTTTCTTTCCTTTCCTTTCCTGCATCTGGGGCGTCGAGTAGGGGAGTGTCTCCACCCAACTCCCTTTCCAGCGTTTCCTCCGTGCTGCTGTTCTTGTTCTCCCATCTCTTGTTCGCGTGCTGCCGGACCACTGCCTATGCTCTAGCGACGCGTGTGATGCAACATGACCTTCTCTCCCCCCCCCCCTTTTTTTTTGTTTTCCGTGTTCAAACTTCGTGCCATGCCAGTTGTGTCATGCATTCCATTCACTCATTCATTCATTCACTGTGCCTCGCCTCGGTTTCGTTTGCCTTCGCCCCTTCTCTTGATCCTTTTCTTGCGTCTCTCGCCCGCACTGGCACACCGCCTTTGGTTTTCTCCTTATCACATCACACACACACACATGCACAGCGGCATACGTTCCGCTGTTCCGTGTTCTGCATTGTGGCTCGCCTGCGTTGTTAACCCATGCTCACGCCTTACCAGCTCGGCATCTCGTTATTCCCGCTCCCTCTTTCTGCGCCTTGTGTCTCGCTTGTTTTCTTCCCCCATCCCCTCCGTCTTGCCTCTTTGTTGGTGCATTGGGTCATGGCCTCGTTTAATGTTGCACGATCTATGCCTGTGCATGGTATGGACGCGTGTGTTTCAATCAATTTGTACAAAAACCCTCATGCGCGCTTTTGAGCCCGAGTGCGGTGTCACCAGACACTCAGCCTGTTCGACACGCCGCGCACGCGAGTGGGACATGCAATACACACTTAAATGTGTGGGGAAGAGAGGAACAGAGGAAACGACAACGAAGGAGAGCAAGAACAGCAGCACCAAACTGTGCGCGAACGAGCAAAGAGTGTTGTCGACATCTCACAGCATTGATGGACGTGGCAAGAATTAAGAAGACTAGAAGAGGAGGCACAGTGCAACACGCGTAGAGGCAGCAGTTCACAGCACACACGCACTGCAGCTTTCACAGCCACACGAGAGTGGGAAACAAAAAAGAGGTGCACGCCCACCACACGGCTACACGGAAGCCACTGGTGTCTTGTGAGGTTAGGAGGTTGCTCGTACCTGCACGCCTTGCTCTGCTCTGCAACCCATCACCATCGGGTCATCGGGTTCGCCTCTTCGCCAAGTTGCGTTACTCCTTGCCCGGGTGGCACCGTCGTTCTTTCTGTGAGTGCAATTGCTGGACTGTTACAGGTACATTTTGACGTTTGGGTTCCACCTTTTGGAGTCGACGTTGTCGGTGGTGACCTGGTGCTTGTCGTAGGGCCATGGGTTTGGGTCATCTTCGATCGAGGACACCTTGGCACCCCATGAGTTGATGGCCTTGCCACTGCCGAGGTTTGTCACCAAAGTGTTGACGGTGTCCTCGTCGCCAAACAGGGACACCTTGACCAGGCTCTTGTCCTGCTTCATGTTGGATGCAGCTGCGCGAAGGCCAAGCCGCTGCGCTGCGCGCATCAGCGTCTGCCGAAACATCACCCCTTGCACTTTGCCTCGCACCTGCAGGTGCCGTTCCATGATGGCCGCCATGTGCTTTTGCTTGCTTGCTTGCTTCTTGCTTTGTTGCTTGTTGATTCCTCGTTGCTTGCTTGTTGCTTGTTGCTTGTTTGTGGAGTTGATTGTAGAAATTTATGAAAAGCACGCACGACAAATCTTCAAATCAAGCAACGGCTTTCGGCTCCACAACCGCGCCCTTTCGCCGCGCATCCTCTGCATCAAACACTGAACGTGTGCATGCATGAGGGTGCGCATGTGTGCGTGCGTGCGTGTGTGTATGCGTGTGTACAAGAAGAATCGTGAGAACTGCACCAGCAACAGCAAGCAGCACCAACAACAAAAGAAACAAGGAAAGAAACAACAGCAGCTGTAGCACTCGAGAACCATCCCATGTCCTTCATCAAGTGCATCACAGACACAGAACAGGAGTCGCATACCCAGTTCATGCGAGGCAAGCGCATCCCTAGCAGATGTTGTGATGAAGCTCGGGTCATTCTGCCACAAGCACCAAGACACAAGAGACGTGCAAGGTGCGTGGAGTGTGAGATGAAATCAGACGAAGCACAACCATCATGCTCAAGGAACCCAACCCACAAGCAATGATATCACACACACGCACGCACACACACACGCACACACTATTACTGACCCACACCCCCCCCACACACACCCACACACCCACACACCCCCACACCCACACCCCCCCCACACACACACGCGCGCGCGCGCGCACCCACCTGTGCGACTGCCTTGGTGAAAGCGTCGACGAGGAAAAAATCAGCTCCGCCATGGCCACGAAGGCTGGTGTTTGGCGGAGGAAGGTCGCATTGGATGCGCTCCTCGCGCTGTGTCTCAAAGTCATACAGAACAACCTCGCGCTCGGAGAAGCAGCGGAGCTGCCTTTTTGTGCCGTAAAACGTCGTCTCCCGCTGGCACAGCTGTGTGGGAGCGGTGAGGTGTCGGTGTCACATCACAACGGCACGAGGCACAGGCGTTAGGAGAACTATTGAAATGAAGGGCGGCAACGGGTGTGTGTGCACAACAGCGCGGACAACAGCACACAGTCTAGTGCAGGTCAACACAAACAGTCCCTTCTCTCCGCTCTCTTGAATTTCGTAGCATTCCGTCTACTCCCAAGCAGCCAGAGAAACAGAGCGCCCACCTTCTCTGTAAACGCAATCATGGAGAAGCTCGCGGTGCATCCCTCCTCAAACTCAAAGTTGACAACTTGGTTGTCCACCTAAGTACGTACGCGCGTATGTGTATGCATGTGTGTGTATATGTGTGTGTATGTGTGTATGTGTGTGTGTGTGTATGTGTACATATGTGTGTGTGTATGTGTGTGCGTGTGTGTGTTTAAGGGGGTTGAGGTACAGCAAGTGGTAATGTGAACAAGGATGTGGCAGTGAGGGCAAAACCGGACAAGTGCACAAATGACAGCTCGGCTGTGTGCGTGTGTGTGTGTGCGTGCGTGTGTGTATGTGTGTGCGTGCGTGTGTGTATGTGTGTGTGCGAGTGAGAGAGAGAGAGAGAGAGAGAGAGAGAGAGAGAGAGAGAGAGAGAGAGAGAGAGAGAGTATGTGTGTGTGTGTGTGTGTGCAACAGCGTGCTTGGTGTTGAACATACGACGTCGTTGTCGGATTGCCACACGCATTTGCCGTAGTTTGATGTCCGAAGACTCTTCTCAAGGTTCTCCTGCGTGGGCGGGCCGTCTAGATTCGGGGTGGGTGGTGGGTGGATGGGGTGTTGCAGAGCGTAGCGTGTTGAGTGGCGGCGTGATGATAGGCCCAACGGCAAGCACAAGCACACAGATACCAATGCACAAAATAAACAAACACTGATCTGCACGAGCAGCCATCAACTACACACACACACACACGCACACACACACACGCACACACACACACACACACGCACCTGCAACGACTTTGGCAAAGAAGCCGTGCTCGAGATAGATGCGTGTGGCTGAATACGCACACGTGTCCTTCACTGCAAGGATTGACAATGGCCATGGTGACGGTGGTCGTGCATGTCGTGATGGAGACACATTTGGTGAGTGTGAAGTTGCGAGGCTGTGAGGGAAATCTCTGCCTGTTGTTAGAGGACACGCACATGCATATACAGACATCCACACACAGGTAGAGACACAGGCACACACAGACACAGGCACACACAGACACAGACACACACACAGACACACACACACACACAAACACAGACCCCACTCACGTGGGCAGTCGAGGCAGCGGGCGGTTGCACCCTCTGGTTTCCTTGCCGGGTGAAACTCGGACAAACTGCCAAACGACGACACCCGCAAGCACTTCTTGCCCATCCACCATCTACCAGACAGCAGAGGGATGGTGAGGCGGCAGTGGCTGCAAGCGCTGCTATGGAGAGGAGGGGATGCACACAGACAATGCTAGCCGCCATTGCTGACACAGCCACAAAACCACACAAAAACACACAGACAGACGCACACAGACTCACACAGACAGACACACACACAGACACACAGACAGACACGCACACACACAGACACACAGCACATACACAGCACAGCACACCAGAGCACAACGAAGCGCAGGAGCCGCGTGCTGACCGGATGAGGTCGATGTCGTGGCAGGACTTGGCCATGAGTGCAAACGTGGACTCGTCCTCCCGCCGCCAGTTCCCGCGGACATACGAGTGGGCAAAGTGGAAAAAGCCAATGGGCTCCGTGTGCTGGATGTTGACGAGGCGGCCAATGCGGCCGGATTCCACAAGCTGCTTCAGCAGGCGGTTGTGCGGCGCATAGCGGAGCACGTGGCAGATGCACAGCATGACGCTGTTCTTCTCGCACGCCTCGCTGATGGCTTGGCAGTCTTCTCGTGTCACTGGTTGCAGAGGAAAGAGCAAGGATCGTGGGCCATGATGGCAGATAGATGGGCAGCGATGAGGACGCTCAAATGCACACCAGTACACTCACACGCACACGCACGTGTGCGTAGAGACACACAAACAGTTTCCAAGCAGACAGGCAATTGGGTACCAATCCCAACACACACACACACACACACACACACACACACACACACACACACACACACACACACACACACACACACCTGCCATTGGCTTCTCCAGGAGAACGTGATATCCAAGGTTGGCAAAGGCGATCGCTGGCTCCTGTGAAAGGTGGGGTGAGAATGAGTATGTGAGCATGTGCGTGCGTGCGTGCGTGCGTGCGTGTGCGTGTGTGCGTGTGTGTGTGTGTGCATGTGTGTGTGTGCGTGCGTGTGTGTGTGTTGGGACATGTAAGCTGAACAGCACTGTTGTGGCTGGTGAGGTTGTTCCGCAACACACCTTGTGGTCGCGATCTTGTGTTGCCACGAGCACAAAGTCGGCAATCTTTCCGCGCTTTGCCAACTGTCACCCAGCGCAAGGAGTGAGGTCAGCATCATGAATCACAAAGATCAACAGCAAGCACAACGCCCTTGTGGCAGTGTGAAAATGAATGGGCTGGGGGTTTGTGCACAAAGCAGCGACAGAGAGAGAGTGTGTGTGTGCGTGTGTGTGTGCGTGTGTGTGTGCGTGTGTGTGTTTGTGTGTGTGTGTGTGTGTGTGTGTGTGTGTGTGTCGCCCAAACACACGCACACACACACACACAAGCAAACACATACCTCGCGCCAGTCTGTGAAGATGTGGTCATCGTCGAGGTCATGGGCCTGCTTCATCATGTCTCGTCGAAACGTCTTCGGATCTAGAGCGACAAGACCCATTATGGGGAGAAGATGTAAGTCATGTAGCCGAACCATGGGGCCGAATCATGCGGCCATGCATATCGCAGGGACGAAGACCAGACGAAGAACACACGTCGTTGCTACACAAGGCCATGGACAGTACAGTACAGTGGAGTATTGCCGCCAAGCAGTCTGTCTTCATACCTGCGGCTGCGACAATCTTCATGCGATCAGGGTAGTCGCGCGCGTACAGGGCTGTCGTGGCATCAAGAACACAAAACGACGTGAGTGATGTGCACGACGAACACAGCGCCCCCCCCCCCCCCAAAGCCCCCGCATTGAGAGACACGAGCCCATCATTCCACCATTCCTGTCCCTCTGCTGTGATGTTGTTGATGTGGAACATAAAACAGGGTGTACTCACAGTAGCCATAGCCGCGCTGTCCACACCCAACGACAACGCCGGTGATCTGTCGCTGCTGCTTCGCTTGCTTGTCGCCCATCCTTGTGTCTTTGCGTTAATCTCCTCCACACAAGTCGTTCACTTCAGTCTTCAATCGAGCGAGTCCCTTGCTTCGTTGCTGTCAGTGGAGTTGTGATTGATGCTGTTGTTGTAAATGAGAGGGGTGCTCGCTCGCTTGTTGCTTGCTTGCTTGCTTGCTTGCTTGTCTTCTTGCTTGTGTTTGTTTGTTTGTGTTTATTTTTGGCCAAACTGCTGCTGACACATCAATCCATCCACCACACCTCTTCCCCTCCACTCTCCTTGCTTCGTCTCCTCCAGACAAGCAAGCAAGCAAGCACTCCTCCCTCGAAACCCAGCACGTCTGCATAACAGCGCGAACAAACAAAAGACCAAGCCCCCTCAA